CGTGACAGCCCTGCCCTTTCGCAGAATTTTATCCCAAGACATCCCGTTCTTGGCCAAAGATTTCTAATTTAACCGTAATAGAATAAAAAGCTGAATCATATTATCGTACAAAATAATCCTTTTTAAACTTGGTAACAAAATAATCTAGCCCAACTAAAATAGAAAAGAGGTTATTATGTTTGCATGATAAGTGAAAGTTAGTAGAAATTAAGATACTTATATTATGATTCAACGTTTAAAAAAACTGGCTAAGTAATTTTTTAAACTACGTTTACATTTTCTCTGCATAGCCACCTATAGGGCCACACTTGACATTGACTAGGGCCTATAGGGACCTATAGGGCCACATTTAGAAAATTTCTGGAAAAAAAAATCAGATTTTGACAATAATTTACTTTCAACATATTTAGATTTCTTTATAATTAATGGTTTGTTTCCGATAACTTTCTTGATATTATTCTAGCTACAGTGTTAAATAACATAATGAAATTGAAATTTGAAAAAAAAATTTATTTTACAGTTTTATGCAAACCTTACAATCTAAATTAATGTTTAAAAATTAAAGAACGTCATTAAATTTACATATTTTTTTCTTTTTATAAAAAAAGTATAAAGTAGAAAGAATTCGAAAAGAAAAACAGACAAAATTCACTTTCCTGAATTTTATAATTAAGTTATAGATTTTAAAAAATAAACTCAGTTGCTAACTTGGTAAAAATATATATAATTAAATACATTATAATTAGTTTTAAGAACCTTCAATGTGGAAGGCCATAGCTTTATGATATTATAGCCTTATTATTACCCAAAAGTAGAAAATATATTTTACGAACATAAATTTTTATTAGTTTTTTGCCGAAGGATTTTATAACCTAAGTAATAATTTAAAAATACACATTAATAAATATTTTTAAGAGATATGAAAAATTTATACCTAATAAAATTGGCCTGTTGATTTTTCTGCGACGATTGATAATGTGTTGGGATAGATTTCATGTTCGTGTCTGATACTTTAATTTCCCCCTTTTTTTTTGAAAAAGGAAATAAACTTTAAAAAAAGTAAAAGTAAAAGAATAAATGGTTTTTGATGCTACACGCATGCTGAATTGGTGTAATTTTTGGGAGGAAAATTAGAGACAGGAGGAAGGAAGGAATTTTATCGCACCATTTCAGAAAAATTATCGTGCATTTTTTTTTGATGTTTTGTCACGATACATGTGTTTTAAAGCAAAATCGTTCCTCTCCCACTTTTTTTTAAAAAGTTTTAGTGATTTCCGGATACATTTAATTACATTAAGGTGTAATTTCTTAAATAATTGCTGAAACGAGTGACTAGAAAGCTTTTGGTATTTTAGGAAAGCTTTGATTTAAATTTCTTAATATACACAAAAGCATAAAATTATTATTGAATTCCAGCTCAAAATAAGCTAATCAGAACACTCCAAAAAAATCGTCTGTTTATTAATTTTATTGAAATATTATATCCAGTCATTGTTTGGCAAAATTAAAGTCGAAACTGCTTGGACATTTTAAAATATAATGTTCAAAAATTATGGAAGTGATGTCATTTGTACCCATGCAAAATTTTCTTTCAATTATAGTTGAAATTGTGAAGTATTCTGCCAACAGCCCATTGTGGTCCAGGGAGGCCATGGAAGTTAAATATATTAAGAGAGAAGCGTTTCCTCGCAAATTCTATTTAATCTCAATTGATACATTAAAATTTAAAGTTAAGAGATAAGTGAATTAAGACAAACCTAGAGTAAGCCATGAAACTTCAAATGTTGAAAAAATTTAAAATATCAAAATGCAAGCAAATTGTTAGAGGAGAATTTTTCCCATAACGTAAACTTAAGTTATTCTCTTATAATTTGTTTGCATTTCGGCATTTTGAATTTGTTTCCTCAGAGTTTGGAGCTTGTTGGCTTATTCTAGGTATGTCTGAACTCACTGTTTTTTTTAAAAAAAAACGTAAACATTTTCAATTACTTATGGAGATGAAAGAAAATTTGCTGCAAAGTGTTGCTCCCGTGGTATAGCGTCCTCTTAAGACGCCACAATTTTGTGATAAATGATATGGTGTCAATGTGGTAAGCGTTGCATACCGAATGCCTTTATTTTCCTGACAAATCGGTATCTGCCGTTCTGAAGCTAGGTGGGCTTGCTAGGTGGCTAGGTTGAAGCTAGGTAGGAAACCACTGAGGATCAAACGCCTTTCTTCATACTGACAGTTCAGTTCCTTAGCCATTAAACCATTATGTCCCCAATATCAGATATTATACCAATATTTGTTTCGTTTTCATAACAGTTCGTTTCAGTTTCAGTTTCGTTTCAGTTTCATTTTCATAACAATGATTTCAACTATTATACTAATTAGCTTATATTTTCAGGACAAGATTTTAAAATGAGTATATCTAAACTTGCTGCAAACCTAATGTTATAGTACGAAGCATTATTTATAGTACGATAAGTAATCCTCTGCAGCAGAAAATCCTCTAATGATGTACAAGATGTTAAACTTTTTAAGTACATTGTTAAAATATTGGAGAAGTTATCGAGTCTCCGTTTTCAAATGACTGCAAATAAAAGTATAACATAGTTCATAGTTAGTTTTTTATATTTAAAAGTATTACAACATGGAAAACACAATCTAAAAATAAATAAATCAGTATATATTATTCATTTCTTAACAAATATAATAAGAAAACAAGCCTTTTTAATAAAAATACATCACGAAGATAAAAACAGTTTTTTTAGATAATAAGGATTTGAAAATGATATTGATCCATGCCCGTCAAAAATTTAAAAGGCTCTAATTGCACAAATTAAAAAAAAAAACAGCATTTTATTCATCAGATTTATTAATATTTTATGCGATAATAGGAAATAAATAAATAAAATAATATGCTCATGTAAAAATATTTTTCACAAAAATTATAGATAAAATTTATATAAATAAGGCAGACAAATAGTTTATCGATGAGTGTGAACAAAAGATTAAACAAATAAATCCTAGAGAGCAAAATTGATATTTCAAGAGCACAGGCTAAAGCAAGTTTTCATAATATAGGAAAACCAAAAATTTAAATAATAAACAATTCACATAATTCACATAATTTTAGGCCCGGGATAGTCTATTTGGTAGGGTGTTGCGCGCATGTGCAAGTGGTCGCGAGCTCGATCTCCGTTGACCGAAGACTCCCCTTGTAGTAAATGATGACAGGTGGGCTTTAAATCTGTCGAGTCACAAAGTCCTCCCATAACAATTCAATACCTTTGGGGGTACTGAATTGGAAAATGATAGTTTTCTACTTCAGGTCAAAATTAAGATCTGTGGATAAATGAATGGATGTGTGAATGGGTCTGCCCTATAAGCGGGCTATGATGTGTGTGTCTGAAGTAGTATTCTTGACCATAGAAGGCGCCACTGAAGAACAAAACAGCATCCACTGCCTTAAATTCACTTAGTTCCACGAAGCAGGCTTGCTGGTTGGCAAGTAGCATTAGAAACAACAACAACATTTAAATCAATAAAATAGCATGAAAAAAGTTCGTTCTCTTCAAAAACTCAAATAACCTGTGGAGACTGTGTTACAGCTTAGTGGTAGCATTGTTACAATGGCCAACCGCTTACCGCCAGGACATTTTTATTTAATTTTTGACCAATAACGAAATAAAATTTTATCCAGAATAAATTTAAATATTTACCCAAAAATAAATAAAATTTACCCATTAAAATTAAATAATAAATTAAATTTAAATTTAAATAATTAATTAATTAAGTTAATAAATTTAAATAATAATATAGAAAAATATTTTTTATTTCGGTGATATTTACACAAACATATGTTTCGCCAAAAAAGAGAACTGAAATTCTGAATTCTTGTGTAAATATTGGTTTGTACAAATCTTATATAGCTACCAATTGCAGAATAATTTCATAGCATTCTATTTTATATAGGTATATGCATAATGATTTGATGTGTATCAATGGCACATTTTTAAAGTTTTGACCATAATGCATCATTTTTTGAGATGTTACGTTTCACTTTAAAAGGAACAAAATTCAAGGAACTAAAAGAGAACTTCTACAAATTATAGTGAGTGCAAAATTTATATACGAATCCTGAGGGAGTTTCGATAGTGGCTTACTAAAATATCTCAGAATTTTCCACTCAAAAAATATAATATTTGAAGTTATCATAGATCCAGATTTTAGTTTTTTCATAATTGATTTTTAAATCTGTGTGCTATTTCAATTCTTCAATACCATGCGATAAAAGTAGTTTTTAAAGAAAATTAGTAGGTTTATTTTTTTCTTTGGTGATAAAGTTAAAAATGAATTTTTATTCTAAAAAAAGGTGGAATGCAGAACTTAATAGAGTTGGATTTAAGATAAATTTGCAAATATTTAATTCCGATGCTTCGAAAAAAAATTAAGTTTAATTTGTGGACTTTTATGAAATCAGAAATTTAATAAACAGAAACAGACTATTTCGAAAATTTGACAAAGCATAATATATGGTTAACATGCAATATTAAGTATCGATTTTATAGAATAGAATATCGTAGAAATGGATTTCGCGTAATGATTCCATAAAAAAATAAATAATAAGAAATAAAAAAAAACAATTGTGGAACAATTTTCTTTTGTCGAAACAGCTAATCACCCTTAAATGAATCACCTATCAAAAATCGGAAAGACCATTAGTAACACCTATTTATTTTACTGCATTTTACAGTCCCAAATGGACGAAGAACACTTCCTCTGGGTGGTGTTATTTACTTGCGGAAAGAAAACAAAATTAGTTCCAAAAAAAGAATCTCACGACGATTTACTGTCGCACCTAACTACTTGCACACACGATTTGAAACAGCGGAAAAAACCAATCATTTATTCTTAATTCTTTTTTTAGAATTTTTTTGACATGCTCAATATGCACCCTCGTCGATTATGGCTTCCTTTTCGGTTAAAGTGAGTGCAAAAGCATGAATTTGGGAATCGAATGTGCTTCAGGGGGATTATTTGATGCCAATGCGGTTATTTGCTGATGCGAAAAATCTTTTCCTTCTTAATTTAGCGACAGATTATGGATATTAGGGGAGGGGTTTATGGAAAGGGAAAAAAAATGTCCCATCCAATATGCATGTGATTTTAGTATAAAAAGATATGGCATCAAGCATCCATTACCATTCGAAATACGACGTTTGGATATACCATTTAACAACAAAGGTAAGGTAGAACTTTGAATAACGCTTTTGATGTTTTCCAGGTCTGAAATTTCTAAAAAGAAATTTTTTGTCTTAAAAGTGCTTAAAATCAAAAGTGAATTATTTTGAAAGACAATAAAATTCGTTAAATAACATAGACTGCTAATTTAGATTCGTTAAAATTTGAACTAATAAACGAAGAGGAAATTTCAATGGATTTAGTCACATACTTGAATTTGATTTTTGAAATTATTCAGAATTAATTTACTTTTAAAAAAACTTTTCTTTCCAAACATTTTTTCGCGAAATCAAGCGAAATTATATCATTGCTTAAAAAGGTAAAAACTATTTATGCCGTTAAAATTGAAAGTTGTAAGCACGATTTTAAATCATTGCTATAGATTTAATGTTAAAAACATAAATTAGAAATTTGATTTCCAAATTAAATTTTATAGAAGGAAGTATGAAATTTTAAATAAAAGTCATTTTTTCTTTTGCAATGGAAATAATTGATTTAAATATAAATTAGGGTAATATTAATAAAAATAATTAAATAACTATTACCAAACTATTTTTTTTTTTAAAATTTGTCTTATTGTAATCCTGCGACAACATATGCAGATTTAACTTTTTTTTTAAATTTGTTTTTAATTTTTTTAAACAATGCTAATAATTACATTAAAATAATTTTCCTAAAATTTTAAAAATAAGCGCATAATATGTCTGAGGATTTTACATGAAAATAAGAATCAGCATTCATAAGGACTTAGTATTTCCTACTCGTATTCAGTTCAAGTTCTCAAAAGTATTGTGATTTTCTAAAAATATTTTCTGAATGAAATAGTAATATCTGAGTTAAAGACAATAAAATGCGATAAGTAACCAAGAAAAAAATCAGATTAATTTATTTACAGCTAGATTTAATCCCAAACCTAATTTTCTTTCTTCATATTTTTAGCGCGATTCTATTTTATGTCAGACTTTAATAATTAGATTTCAATAGGAATTATAAATTTCAGAGTTGAATTAGTTTAATTTCTAAAATCTTAAAATACAAAACTAAAAAGCTAAAAATTGTGAATAATTTATATTTGATTTTGATGATTTTTACAACTGTTTAGTTTAAACAAAATATTTCATACTATATATTTATTGCAGAAATTTAAAAAACAAAACCTCCAATATGAGACAAAGTCTTTTAGTTCTTTTTTCTGTGGTGATGGTGGTGTGCGTACTTTCTAGTAGCATATGTTTAGCGATGCCAGGCCATGGTAATGGTGGAGGATTTGGTGGTGGTGGTGGCAAACATGGCGGAGGGAATGATATTATGGAAATGTTGGCTGCTGGTCTGATCGCCAAGCTTCTGTCTGAAATGAATAACAGATGAAAACTTTGGATTAACATTCAAAGAAGGGTACATACATTTATTTACTATTATATCATTTCATGTAAAGTGACTGAAAGTAATATAAAATGGTTGAATATTTTTAAAATTTTCTAAGGTTAAAGTGGTAAAGTTTAAGAAATTTATCAGAAAAAATGGTTAAATGACACTTTATTTAATTGATGTTGTATCACATTCAATCAAAACAGTAAACTATTCGTTAAAATGATAATATTTAAACTGATAACTGTGTGACAAATCGCTTATTGGCTGTTTTCACCTATTACGGTTAAACAAACAAAATTTTATCTGTGGTAACTGGACCCATCTTATGCAGCTACTTGCAGCTGGGTGCATAGCCGAAAAGGCTTCTTTATAGCCGTCATGTAACATTGATAAATAGTAACAATGATAAACATGAATTTAATATATTTTTCAGCTCGTGTCATTTTATCACATATGTTTTTTAAATTTAAAAATACACGAATTTACCCATTATTTTAAAAAATAATTGTGAAAAATTAACTCAATGTTTTTGAAATTTTTCTATTATTATTATTATTATTATTCGTTTCTAGATGTTTTTATCACTTAGTAAACACTAACTATTTTGTTCCTTTCTAGATATCTTCAAAATGAAAAATTTTCATAGTTTTGTCATTAAATCTTTACTTAACCTTTTAACGCAGAGTTTTTAACATATTTTTTCTCCTTTTTTTTAAAATCATTTTTCACTAATTTAGGAAAAAATAAGTGAAAAATATTTTATTTAGCAATTTAATGATTTATAGTTATGAAATACAGCATGAAATACCGGTGTCTTTTTCTGCATTAAAGGTAAAATCTTCCAAACATGACTCACTTTTAAGCAATAATTGTTCTAACTTTCATTTGTTTGCAGTTATTTAGTTGCTTAGCATCGAAATTTCTTTGATTTACAAATTCAATTGTGTTTGGAATTTTATATTTTAGTGCAAATATAATTACGATAATCTAACAGATTTTTTTATTAATTATTACTTTAATAATTAAAAAAATACCAAAATATATTTTTGCTTGCAATTCAACATCAGGGAAAAGGTATATAAAAAGACACCAATGATCCAGCTACGTCAAAGGGTTAAAGTAAAAAGCTTATGACAATGCAGTTTAATATATTTAGTAACACTGATATCAAAAGCTTATTGTTGAAATAAGTTTAATGACTCAGAGGAATAAGATCATAAAAACTTTTAATTTATTTTCGATAACGCTCTGTGAAAATAATATATTTTGTTACGTAAATCATCATTTCGAACTAAACTTTAATATATATTGATACTCTTTTATAATCTTCATGTTTTTCTTTACAATATCTTTCATGTTTTTTTCATTTTTAATCATTAAGAAAGTAGCAACTTTGACACGACTATAAATGATCAAGGTGAACGAAATTAGAATAAAAACACTAAAGTAATTTATTCAAAACTAATGTATGTTATTAAGAAGGTTTTGAAGGTTTTGAAAACGAATGACATAGACGAAAACAGAACAAACATATGAACGTGATTTTAAGAAGAACAGTCGTACGCAGGTTTTATAAGAAAATGGCAAAATATAAGCCTGTTTTCTATATAAATTAACCTGGAGAACGAAATTAGAATGCAAATACAAATGTAGTTTTATTAAAAACGAATGTATGCTATTAAAATGTTTTTAAAGTCCAACTTTTATCAGGATTAAAAACGAATCACGTAGACGAAAACAGAACAAACATATAAACGTAATTTTAAGAAAAACAGTCGCACGTAGTTTTCAAAAGAGAATGGCAAAAGATAAGTATGTTTTCTATATAAATTAACCAGGAGAATGAAATTAGAATGCAAATACAAATGTAGTTTTATTAAAAACTAATGTATGCTATTAAAATGTTTTTGAAGTTCAACTTTTATCAGGATTAAAAACGAATCACATAGACGAAAAAAGAACAAACATATAAACGTAATTTTGAGAAAATACAGTCATACGCTTTTTTCATAAGAGCATGGCAAAAGATGAAGATGTTTTCTACATAAATTAGATAGGAGAGCGAAATTAGAATAAAAATGCAAATGTAGCTTCATTAAGAACTAATGTGTGTTAGTAAGCACTTTTTAAAGTTCAACTTTAATCAGGATTCAAAACGAATCACATAGACGAAAATGGAATAAACATATAAACGTAATTTTACAGTAGTACGAATTTTTCATAAAGGACAAAAGATAAACACTAATGATGCACAAATTCAAAAACTTATATTTAAAATAAGATTGTTCATGTACCTTGATCGATTTGATACAAGACAAATCTTTTATACTCTCAATACTTCCCTTTATTATAAGAATAATGACAGATCTTAAATTAGATCATGTAAACCTATCTCAAATCCATTTTTATGGCATTTATTGTTCCGCTTATTTTAAACCTAATTTAATTCACTTTTTCTTTTTACTTGTATCTCTGAAATCTTTTGTGCAGCCACTGCCCCTAAGTGTATCTTTTTTAAAAGCACTCATGCGTAGTGAGATGGGTTCGTTAGTTTCCTTACTTTTCCTTCCCTTTTTTGAACGAAAATTTATTCGTCTTATATGGAATGCCATGTTCGTTGATTATAGTTCATTTAATATTTAGGTCATTTCTCAAAGCGTTTGTCTGCTTAACGTAATTTTAATATTATTTTTTAAAAAATTGAGTATTATGTTTAATTCGAATGAAATGTTAGTATATATCATTAAATAAGTATTCGAAATTAAAATTTGCAGCTATTACTAAAACAAAGTAAACTTTGTTATCAATCATAATACTTTCAATATGCATAATACTTGCTTAAAAAAAATCTTCGATCGCTTATAAAGGTAAAAAAAGCTTTTCGTAATGTAATTATGATTCAACATCTTCTTACAGACTCACTAAGTGTATTAAAAATGCTTTGATTAATATAGTACAAAAAAAAAAACGATTTTTCTACAGTAAAGCTTATTTAAAAGATTGCATCGATAATTTTAAAATTCACTTTGATAAACGTAAGAAAAAGTATAAAAGACAACATTTGGGAAAAATTTCAGAACATTACCACACCGGAGATTGGGAAAATTATGGTTTCATCATTTTCCGTTTTTAACTACCCCAAAAAGTGAAGTTCAATAAAAGGGTAAAATAAATAGAAAAAATGAAATTAAAAAAAAACAAACTAAGAAGACTTCAAATAGTTTTTTCAATTGGCAATTTTAATGACTTAATTTCTTTAATTTTAAATTTTTCAAATTTTTAAATTTTTTCTTGAAATGACAAGTATAAAAATATAAAATGAAAATTATAGGTAATTGAATTGAGTAAAAAATGAGTAAAAAACACTATGAGTAAAAAACACAATTCTGGTTAATAAAACCAAAATATAGGGTATTTAAACCATACATTTGGTAATTTTTCCTTTCAAAAGGCAACAGTTCATCGGTAATTTTGGTTTTCAAAATTATAATTCTTATTACCACACATTTAGGAAAAAACACAAAACTGAAAGGAAAATTCAACGCATTAAAGGCTGAGTTTTTTTATATGTTTTGAAGCAAAAAACACTCCTATTAAAAAAGTGGTCATTCGTTTTCGCTAAATGAATATTTTCTTCTATCACCTACGATTTGATTTTTGAAAAGAATAAAGAATATTTGCAAGCTGTGAAAACAGTCGTGTATCAGATACGAAAAATTCCCGTTAAGTATATGTTATGCTAGGTCAAAATGGGTAAACCAAATGAATGTTTTTAAACCAGGCTCTAAGGTATCATGATAAAAATCACTAAACTTTATCACTTATTATAAAACCATATTCTATTGTTAATTTCACTTTACTCAAGTCCTTCGTTACAGAGCTTTTTGGTGTCTCCATAGAGCCAGAACACAGTAAATATTACCATATTCTATCAGCTTTGACCATACTTTTTTCTTTTATCAATGAGGTTATGATGACACTTATATTTTAACACAAATTAATAGTTTTCTTGACTTAGTTTAAGGGCGTGGAAAGCCAGTGAATTTTACGATTTACTACTACGCTGCTTTTTATAACAATAACTTTCTAAAGCTGAGGATGCTTTTTATTAGCTATAGCAGATTGCAATAATTTGAACTATATCAGCCAGAAAATGGACAAATTCTTATGTTTCAAACTTATTGTCTTGTTATTCGAGCATGAGGTGGACAAAATTAAGGTTCAACATTTTTGCTGTAACAATGTAGCTGAAATTTAAAATTATTATTTTTCTTACTACTTTTCTAGGTCAAATACAGTAATTGGAGATGGTGAGCTGCCGAACTTTAATGTCTGTTTTAGTAATTTCTATAATTCTGTGCACTTTTACTCAAGCTTTACCTCAAGGAGGAGGGGGAGGAGGAGGAGGCTTTGGCGGTGGAAAGAAGCACCACTCTAGACTTGTAGAAATACTAGCAGCAGGATTGGTCGCCAAGATGCTGACCGAAAAGCATGGAGGTTGTCACCATCACGGATGAATATCTTTAGTTACTGTCACACTCTTCATCAAATTGCTTCATTTTCATTCTTTTGTATATAGCAACCCTTTTTTTTATCAAAATGTTAGAGATATCATCTTGTACTTGTTTGTTCTAGCCAAAATAAAGTAGTTTGTCTGTGTTAAATACATTGTTTGTCACTTTTTAGTAATTAATTTATTATAGAAGCAAGTGTTTTTTACAAAATGGCTCATTGAGTCAAGTTTCGTGTGTTGAAAATCTCATTGTTGATAACTTTAGAATATTTCCGCTCCCAAAGGACGAATATACGATATTTTTAAGTACAAAAATTGATTTTGTATAGACGCAAATGTTGGATACTTACAATTGAACATTTTGAAGTGTTCAGGGAAAATTCATTCTAACATTCATTGCTAAGCAAGAATAGGTATCAATGGAAAAAAGATAAAAAATTAATCAAACTTTTCTACATTGCTTAGAATTGGAGAAAATTTTTAAAAAAATCTCTAAACGCTGCAAAGTTTGCACTGTAAAAAATGGTTGCTCAAGACTAAGCAAAAATGTGTCACAATTGTTCAGAAAAAAATTACAGCAGACTTTTGAAAACCCCATGTTTTCAAAATTGAAGCAGATTAGATATATTTTTGAGCAAAACTCATAGTCTCAACAGTGGCGTGGAGGGAGGATTATTTGCGTTCGTTGACTGCCAGAAAGATTCGGACCTAGGACCTCTCTGTTCGTAGTAGGGTGCTCTAACCACCACAGTTGAACACCCCTGTTCAGGGAGAGTTAAGAAGCTTTATATAATGGCTGCTGCAATGACACATAGTGATATTTATTATTTTCTCTTATTTTTTTTTAAGATATAGCGAAATAAGAAAAAAAAGTTAAATTAAAATTAGCGATCTCTTGAATTGGGACCATATTTTCCATATGGTGTACCATTGAAATTGGAAATTATCATTTCATGATTGTCATTGCGGCGGCCACTATATATAGCTTCCTTACTCTTGATGAATGGAAATGTACAACTATGGTGGCTAAAGTATTCTACTCGATCTAGAATGTCCTCGTTTCAAATCCTGCTGGCAGCCAACTCCTCCCGCCACATCATTTTTTAGACTATGCATTTTGCTCAAAAATGAGTTTCAATTTTGAATATATGGGGCTAATATTTTCGACCATTATTTTTTCGGAGGTATAGTGAAGTATTTTCGCTCAATTTTAAGAAGCCCTTTTGCTATCTTGTTAATAACAATTAAAATGTTAGTTTAATGATTTTCAACACCTTCAAATTGAATAACCTCCTCCGCTGTTGCTAAATGAGAAGTGTTTCATATAGAGTAGAACAATACATTGTTAAGTAGTTTTGGTGGGCAGGATTTTTTTAAGCACTACAGAGTATTTGGTTGTTAATATTTCTAAAAATATTGATTTCGTAGCCGTCAATTTGCTTTTCCAGCAAAGGTTTTTCATTTTGTTTAGGTCGAAGTTTCTTAGAAATTGTAGGGCGTAAAGTTTGAGATAATATTTCTTGTTAGGGAAGATGTGCTTCTACTCATTATACTGAAAAACTAAATAATTTATATTCATAATTCATTAGTTTCATAAATTATATTTAATTAGATATCCTTTTTTTCTTAATTGTAAAAGGGATAACATATTTTGAAAAAAAAACTGATTAATTCAGAATTTTAAGTGTAATGGAGAAAATAATACTAATTAACCCTATATTTTAAGTGAAATTTAAATAATGCATTTCATAAATCAGATTTTCAAAAAGTTTGTAGAAGTTTGCACATTACAATAAAGGAAATATTTTTTGAATCCAAACATTTTAAAAAGACACGATTTATACTCTTAAGGATTAACTCTTTGAAAAAAAATCTAAAAATATTTGAGATTTATGTAGCTACAGACCTGTAGTTGTTTCGAAAGTCCTCTTTAAACCTTACAACGAATAATAAATAGAAAATACAATTTATTTAACACCAAACCCATATTAAATTAAAATTACACCAGCATAATTTTATAATACATGATATAATTTAAAATACATGATATAATTTAAAATGCCGGAGCAAAATAATTACTAAAAAGAGTACAAAAAATAATTAAAAAAAACTTTTAAATCACAAATAAAACGTTTTTTAAATTTCTTGAGAATTGAAATAAAAATTATCTAGAGCTACAAAATCAAGAACAAAGAAGAAGTTGCCGAAAAAAGTATCTAAAAAAAGTAACATTTATTTACTACAGTTAAAAAAAAACATTTCCTTAATTATATACATTATCAAGAGAAGGTTTGAATCACAATGGTAAAAGAAACCCCAGAAAATCAGGTTAACTTTACTAATGTGTAATAAATTGCTTTAAAAATGAGCTTCACAGACTGCGAAAAAAATATTAACAATAAATATAAATTTTGCATTGAGTTTTTATTTAAAAAGAATGTTAAGACTTTCATTTTTATATTTTTACAATAAAACATTTGAAGGGCCGGGATGGCTTGGTTGGTAGGGCATTGGGCCCATGTCCAAGAGGTCATGGGTTCGATCTCCACCGGCCGAAGATTGTGTAGTAAATGGTGACTGATGCACGTTAAATTTGTCGAGTCACAAAGTTCTACATGTTCCCATAACAAATCATACCTCTGGAGGTACTGACATAGGAGTTTCCTGGTTTGGTTCAAAATTTCAAGGCATTAGCAAACATAAACCCAAAATTGAGTTGGTTGTTCAACGACGGTTATAAAATAAAATAAAAAATTGGAGCCGTGGTGGTTCAAGGGGGTCAGGCGTGGTGGAGTCATCCAAGGTGGTGAACTGGGTTCGACTCCCGGCGAGGATTGGTCAATATGGATTCCGCATCCGGTTCGCACCGTCCACAGTGCAGACATAAAAATATCCTCAGTGGTAGGCGGATTATGGATTAGAGTCCCCTTGCCCTCAGACTAACCGTGGTTGGTTTTCGTGGTTTTTCCCTCCATGTAACGCAAATGGGGGTTAGTTCCATCAAAGCGAAGCAAATTTCTTCCAATACTTGATCCAGGAGTTTCCTTGTTTTGTGGGTCGGGTTCAGGATTGCAAGTCTGCGGAGTTGAACATTAATAGTCGTAAACCGAAAATTGGACTGGCTGTTCAACAATGGTTTTAAAATAAAATAAAATATTAAATTAATATAAATAATTAAGTCTATATTATATTATTTATAAATAGATTAGTTTCATTGTGAGAGACTAACTATACTTATTGCTGAAAATGAACAAATATCTTTATATAGTCAAACATCAATCCATCGTTCCCATATCGTTCGATTCTTCACATGTATCACTCTGTTTTAATGGTTCCCTTACAAAAACTAAACTATTCTTATAAAGTTAAGAGTAAAGTTAATAATACCCATTTATTGCTTGGAAATATTTTAACTGGCAATAATAAGATAAAAAAATCTCGATATTTTGAAACAAACATTTAGAGTTAAATAAAATTATTTAATTTTTTCATTAATAAGTAAATTGCATTTGATTTAACCAGTAGATTTTAAAGTCAAATTTGAGACATAAGAGCTTTTTTTAAGTAATTTTAATTACTTTAATAAAATAATTTATATAAAATAAAATAATAATAAAATAATAATAATAATAAAATAATAATAATAATAAAATAATAATAATAATAATAAAATAATAATAATAATAATAATAAAATAATAATTATAAAATAATAATAATAGTAAAATAATAATATTAAAGTAATAATAAAATAATGGTGAAATAAAATGCAATTTACTTATTAAATAATGAAAATAGTTAATAATTTTACTCTCTCTTTAAGCAAATAAGAAAATAATCTCTCTTTACGAATGGTTCTAATAAAAAAATACGAAATAAAAGTATAATCGAAGTTGACAACCTGTGAAAGACCATCTCCGTGAGCACCATTTTATTTCGGTTATTGTTCTAACTCATATTATTGAGTTTAATATGTTTAATATGTTCAAGCCTAATACGTATTTTGAACGAGTCAGATAATAATTGAGTAAGTCAGTTACGTTCGAGAAGAGTTACATAAAACGCAAAAAATGAAGGCCGTTTGCTTGATGCTGGATGAAGGCCGTTTGCTGTTATATTTTGTATTATAGAGATGTCCATCTCACCTTAAAAAAATGGATTAAATTTCTCCTTTAAGAGAACAAAAAAAAAAATGACATATATTGAAGATATGCATATTTTTAAAAAAAATTAAAGTCCCGCAGTGGACTGATCGTTAAGACACGGTTCCCAGCAGATCACCGAAGTCAAGCATCACTGGCTACGGTCAGTGTGCGGGTGGGTGACCACTTGGATCAGTCTGCGTAGGGACCGAGGGTGTGCGGTATTGGTCCTCGTTAAACTGTGCTACCGTAAAGTGCTCGACTTCGCGCGCAGGTCGTCGGGCTACCGAAGCGGGGGTGCCATCCCCTCCGCAGAGGATCAAAATTGTGATGGCATGTCTTCGGATCATCCTCCGGGATGTTTCCCAGACCGTCGCCAATAGCCCATTGTGTAGCTCTAGTGTGACGTAAATTAACAACAACAACAGCAACAAAAAATTAAAATTCCAGTTATTTACAAACACAATGCAAATCTCCCAATTACACTGTTAGAAATTTATCAGAAAAAATGGCTAAATGAAAATTTATTTGTTATTTTACAGTATTCAAACAAAACAGTCAAATAACCATAAATAAGCTGGTATTCAAGCTGCTAACTGTGACAAAAACCGTTTATTAACTGGTTTCACTAAATACGGTTAAACAACCAGAATTTTATCGCACAAACTAGACCCATCTAAAGAAGCCCTTTAGTTCCTTGCATATGGGTACATATTACAGCCGAGAGAGTTAATTTGTCAATATCATGAGAGAAAGAACGGTTCCCAGCGTTGACACTAGACTGTTTCATCCATTTCCTTCAACGCATGAAAAGTTTCCATTATATATTTTTTGCTACACTCCCCAATTTGTGACCCTGAGTTGTTGGAATACGATACTCTCATTTACCCAAAGATGGCAGCACTATAAAATTGCTAAATTACCTGCAAAGTCCGATTAAACTTCTTTTTTACGTTTCTGAAACCACGCTAGTTTTAAATGGTTAAAAAACCCACATAGTTTTG